TTTAATATAACAAAACAGTAAAAAGAACTTCCATACAACACACAGACAGTAGAGAGAACTTCCATACAACACACAGACAGTAGAGAGAACTTCCATACAACACACAGACAGTAGAGAGAACTTCCATAACACAGACAGCAATATGATCTCAGAAGCAGAACAGTTATGGGAGAGACTGGAGGAGGAGGAGGAGGAGGAGGAAGAGAATGAGGTGCTGAAGTGCTCTCATGCTGTCAATGGTGCCGGTAACAACAGTGAGCTCAAACAAGTGGCTGGATCTTACACGATGCTTAATTAATCCTTGTGAATATATAACTGTAGGTGTTGAGAGATTTACAGTACAGTACAGAAAATATATGATACATCGTAATAAAGTTTAGTTAAGGCTAGAGAGTCAATTTAACTCACATACTGTATGGGTAGTTGGTATGGGCATGCACAGGTAACAGTCAAGTAATCAGGTAAGGTTTTTCTATTCCCTGTACAGTTTGGGGGGTTGGGGACAACAGAACAAATATTGATAAACTTGAGGGAAGGAATAGAACTGTGAGGCAGTAGATGCTAAAAATAATAATAATATTTGAATGAATGAAAAGTGTGTGATGTATGTATTTGTTCTCCGTAATGTCCGTCAAGAGATGTTTAAGATATTCAACCTTTTATGACTCAAGCCTACTGTGTGGGTACTGGTAAAAATAAAGAGATGGTAAATTAAATCTTAAAGTTGGGAGAAATAATGAACGTACAACTTTTAATATGTGTGTAGAGATGTCTGTCTTTCATTACGTTTAGTTGTTGATGGACTGGTGTAATTACTAAACCTTGTTATGCATTTTAGAGACCTTAGTTGTCAAGTACAGTACTAACATTATAATGACCACATCAACATGTGTCCGTGATAAAAATTGAAGCTGTATATCTAGTACAAGATACAGTCCAGTGCAGTGTTCTAGTGATCTAAACTTGGATTATCGGTGAAACTTTATTAGTGGTACCAGAAAAAGTGACAAAACTAGGAAATGATCCCTTCAGTACAGGTCCACGATACTGTACTGTATATGACACACACACACGAGTACGACCGTTAATACACGATCCAGATGACTGACTGAACCACCAACCACAACAAAAACAGAAAGTTTATGTTTATTTCAGAATATAGTGTTAACACTAATGGTGAGCAGCCACCACCAGGTAACACTCCAAGGAGCCACCACCAGGTAACACTCCAAGGAGCCACCACCAGGTAACACTCCAAGGAGCCACCACCAGGTAACACTCCAAGGAGCCACCACCAGGTAACACTCAAGGAGCCACCAACCAGGTAACACTCCAACCACCAGAGTAACACTCAAGGGCCACCACCAGGTACCACCACACTCCAGGTAACCTCCCACCAGGTAACACTCAAGGAGCCACCACCAGGTAACACTCAAGGAGCCACCACCAGGTAACACTCCAAGGAGCCACCACCAGGTAACACTCAAGGGGGAGCCACCACAGGTAACACTCCAAGGAGCCACCACCAGGTAACACTCCAAGGAGCCACCACCAGTAACACTCCAAGGAGCCACCAACAGGTAACAAGGCTAACACAAGGAGCCACCAACAGGTAACACTCAAGGAGCCACCAACAGGTAACACTCCAAGGAGCCACCACCACACTCCAGAGCCACCAACAGGTAACACTCCAAGGAGCCACCACCAGGTAACACTCAAGGAGCCACCACCAGGTAACACTCAAGGAGCCACCAACAGGTAACACCAAACACTCCCACCAACAGGTAACCTCAAGCCACCAGGTAACACTCAAAGCCACCACCAAGTAACCTCAAGGAGCCACCAACAGGTAACACTCCAAGGAGCCACCAACAGGTAAAGTAACCTCAAGGAGCCACCACCAGCACTCCAAGGAAGCCACCAAGGTAACACTCCAAGGAGCCACCACCAAGTAACACTCCAAGGAGCCACCACCAGGTAACACTCCAAGGAGCCACCACCAAGTAACACTCCAAGGAGCCACCACCAGGTAATAACGGCATAAGGAACATCTCAACTAACAAAATTATCACTGTTAACCATTTCCTTTATGACATAATGACTCACCTAAAAAAATTAAGCTTCCCCAGTAAACAAAATTACCTTAAAGTTCATTTGTGTAAAAAAGAAAAAAACCATTTAGTAAATCTTTCCTTCAGAAGATAAAGGTGCAGGGTGGCAGAATAATCAACGATCAGTCTTTATGAAAACAAAATCAAAAAGCACAAACAGGTGTGAAAGACTTAATGTTAAACTGTGAGTCATGCCACAGCTCAGGAGTCAAGGACATGGTGCGGTAGAGGAGGGATTAAATATTATGAGAATACACAAGATTAGCAGCAAGTTCTTACGTGACCTTCAACACACGGGGGGGGACTGGTTACTGGTTGAGGCAGGGAAACTGTGGTCTTCCATTACATACCATACAGGGTGTCCATACATCATCTGACCCATTCTAATATTAACTTCAAGAACATTACAGATACAACGCGATCGCTTTATTATACTCGACCAACAACGCGCTCGCTTTCTCTCTCTTGTTTTGGTCGACTTCCACACACATGCAACGTGTTCTGTCTCTTATATATTTGATGTGGGTTAAATAATTCATGGATACTGTGGACGTCTGTTCAGAATACCAAACTAAACAGAAGATATGATAATAAAGGAAGATAAATGGAGTTTGACCTTGACTGTATACCACCTAAAACAAAACACAGTAATTACAAAGTGTGACGTACAGGTATTACCTTGAGAAAGGACTTTTAACTGGTTTAATAGATTTCATTGACAACCAACAACCAACCCGACCAACCAACCCGACACCATTTATACTTCTTCCACGATGCTGCATAAACTGTGGCTGTGATAGTGAGTGAGGTAACTGGTAAAATGTGACAGTGAATGTATGTGAAAGTGAGACATATCTGGTTAGACGTGACACTGAATGTATGTGATAGTGAGTGTGATCATTAGTTAGATATTATATAAGTAAATTATCAAAAAAATAAAGACCAAATAAAATAATAATATATCCAAAATGGCCACTAGACATACCATTAACCCCCTGCCAAAAAATATAGCACACAGCATGATGCCATAGTGGTTAAGTTTCAGACTTTAAACTACACTTGGTTAAGGCATCGGCAACGTACAGTGTCATCTGGACGGGAAGGACCACATAACGTACTGTACTTTCCTCACCGTGGGGCCCATGTACTCCACCACACCACATGACTCTATAACTGGCCATGGTATTCTTGTTACATTGTCTTCAAAACCAAAGTGGTAAAGTTCACTAAATATTGCCAATTATCTCCTGAGAAGTTTCATGGGAGATGCTACTCACTCCCTAATGAAAATACAACACAGTGAGTATTACCAGAGTAGGTGTTGTCCGTCGAAGCAATAGTAAGATACCCAAGTATACAGTGGCATCTCTCGCCCTCTTCCTGCCCCCAAAAAATATACATAACCTCTAATTTTCTACTTTACTTCATTTTACTCCCCAACAACACCCCAGTTAATACTCAAGTGACAGTAGTATGTATAAAATGTTTCTTCTCTATTATAACTTATTTCTAATTTATCGAACATTTCCTGTGTTTTCTTTCCCTCATTTCTCTTTATTAATTCTTCAATGTTAATATTTCTTTACCTGTCCTATGTTCACACAACAACTCTCTGTCATATAAACCTCGATATATAAATCAACTATGGGTCTTAATACTGCGCACGCACACACACACACACACACACACACACACACACACAGTACTTTTCTACACTACGAGCACTACTTCACTTTTGCCGGGTCTTAACTTTTTTTATCGGCAGCTGAGGAATCCCGACTTTACCCTCATGAAGACAAAAATTGGAATATTGGGAACATGAAAAGTCCACTGATGAGGGCTGCCATTCTTACAGCTAGGAATACTCTTGATGCTACACACGACCCATAATGCTGTACAGTACCCATGATGCTGTACAATACCCATGATGCTATACAGTGCCCATGATGCTGTACAGTACTCATGATGAATCTTGGTGAGTGGGGTCAAGGAAAACTAAAAAAAAAAAAAAGAGAGAGAGAGAGAGAGAGAGAGAGAGTTCTGGTCATCATAGAGAACAATAGTAACTGTACCATACATTTATACTCTCACAAGCTACAGATTTAATATGTACGAGTATTACACCATAGAGTACGAGTAATAGGGTCAAGGTCGTCCTCCACCTTACACCATGCGGTACGAGAGATTCAAGAGGAGTCACACGCTATGTAAAAAATAATAATACAAATGTTTCATCTATCCCTTGAACTACTACTATTCCTCCATCTATTACTTGAACTATTACTCCTCCTCCTCCATCTATTACTTGAACTGCTCCCCCTTCTACTCTTCCTTCACCTATGACTTGAATTATTCCTCGACTGATACTTTGAGACGGTCTGCTTGTTAAATAAATAAAAATAACAACACAACCAAGCACAAGTTGCAGTGGGAGTCTTCAGAGATGATGTGTTTTTCCAGACAAGAACCAAAAATCAATTGCCTCTGAAATCATAACAGATCCAAAAGGAGGGATGACTACGACAGCTAAAGGTTGGTAAAGCAGCTAACAGGTTCCCAGACTCTTAGAAGAAGTTATTATTGTGAAGATCAACACCCAACAGCATCATGCACATGTTTATAATCATGCAAAGGACTACTGTACTACCAGAGTCCAGCCAAGTTCTGATAATCAAACATTTATTCTTGTAATACACAAATAACAATATTTTCTGGTCAAAAGTGACTTAATTAAAAAAATTTTATTGTCAAGAAAAAGTAGTACAATACGTACAAGATTTACATACAATATAGCATACTATTATATTTAGGAGTTTGATTGTCAAAATGGCTTAGATAACATAACAAGGAGGGCATGTGACACCCTTAAAAAAGAAACACATTACTCACCAGTGCTGGGTCCAAGGAGGAGGCAAGACTAGAGTTAGAACAAGAGTGTGGGGGGAGGAGGTCCATAGGGGGATGTTCACCACCACTACTGGCGTCCCCCATGTCACTCCCTGGCCCACTCTCTAATCCCCAGTCCTCCTCCTCCTCTTCTATAGAGATGTCTTCTTTCACAACCTGTTCAGACACCATCATTAATTAAAAGGTCTTCACTATTACCATTATACCTTAAACTTGATCATTACCACAACCAGTTTCATGGATTAAAAACTAATATGAACACGACTTTTGTAAATTAATTTCTATTCAAATTTCACAATATTCCAATTGATAAACAAAAATGAGATGTGATCACGGACTCACCACTTCATCGTCGGGTTTTGCAGAACTCGGTCTCCAGGAGGGACCCGGCACAGGATCCGATTCATCTCGATTCCTGTCTTGACAGTTAACTTCCAAGGGAGTCATCGGCACCGGAGAGCGTGGCGGTTGTGGCGTGTGTGGAGGCTGAGGCGTACTTGCTTTAAACTTATAGTCTTCCGGCGAATTTTCCTTGTTCCCGTAGTGAGGTTGATCCGGAGAGGCAGAATGAGTGCATTCATTCTGGGCGTTATCAGATTGTGACACAGAAGATGAGGAGGATTTTTGTGACAGGTCGTACGGACTGTTAGGTTCTTGAGGAGACAAATTACTATACATAAGTCCTAGCCCACCGGACATATATTCTGGGTCTCTCGCTCTTTTTCTCTTTGGCGGCGGACTGGACGAAGGCTCTGGGGGCGGTCTGGGGGTTGGGACCTCTCTTGTCGATCGGTCTGCTTTTCTGAGTTGGATGGGATCATCTGGGACGGCTAGACCCTTGACCTGCAGCCCTTCTGCGGTCTTAATTAGTGACGCTAGGTTGTGGTGAGGCACGTTAACTTCTCCTCGGTACATAAAATCTAATAATGCCTCCAAGTCTCTGGCTGATACATCTTTCATAAATACGATGGGATGTTTGCAAGGATTCTTTGTGAACATTTCTTTAAAGTAATCACTACATGTTGATAGCACGAATTTGTGCGCTGGATACTGTTTTCCACCACACGCTAGTGTCACATCGATGAATACTTCCTGCAAAGAAAAAGACGACTCAGTTTATATGACACTTCATTTGATGAAAGTATATGAGGAGAAATATCCCTATTTGTTGTGAAGAGTAAGGGAACTAATGTGTACTGATGGTGTAGAGAAGCCAATGACAGATTATGAAGGGTAATTATTCCTTGTACAATTACCTCCATCAGATATACAGAGTCAAGAGATATTCCATCCACACATTAATAACTAACAACATAACTACCTAACTAACAATACCATCATTATAAGTCAATGTCATTGTCTGGGGTGAGATACTGTAACACACTCAGTTTGGGGGCTGTTTAAGGGGCATCTGGGGGTTAATTAAGGGGGTGACTAGGGGCTGTTTAAGGGGCATCTGGGGGTTAATTAAGGGGGTGACTAAGGGGCATGGGGGTTAATTAAGGGGGTGACTAGGGGCTGTTTAAGGGGCATCTGGGGGTTAATTAAGGGGGTGACTAGGGGCTGTTTAAGGATGTATTTGGGGGCTCTTAAGGGAGGGGGATTGTCTGAGAGCTATTTAAGGGAGATATCTGAGGGCTGCTTAGCTTCCTAATAAGACATAAAATATAAGAGAACAAAGGCCAAAATAATCCAGTCTGAAGAGGGCCACCGTCCCTACAGCTAACTTCCACTGATGATGGCCGCCATCCTTACAGATCCACGCCCTAATATTATCAAAGAAACTTGGCAAGTGAGGTGACTGTCCCCCGAGGGTAACAATGAGAGAGAGGAATGCATTTAAGGAGCTAAAAAAATATATATATATACATTGTGCCCCAGCCAGTAGCGACCAGCCATTCTATGAGGTGTGTAACTGATGTGGTTGGAAGACTCTCAAGTGATACAACTTATCCTACACTGCATTGAGATGATGGAAGGAGATGCATTTATGGTGGCTGAAGAGTATCTCGGCCAGAGGGATGCAATGACCTAACCAGAAATGAATAACCTAGTGTCATTTTTCCTCAGTAAATTATGTACCTGTACAGTAATTGGTGTTTCTCTTCTAAGAAATAAAATTGACTTAAGTGCTGTTACTCTGACCTTACTGAGAGAGAATATTTTTTGGGGTATGATGATTTTACTGAATATGTATGTATGTATCTATCTATCTACATACTTATCTACAGTATCTCTCTCTATCTATTATTTACATGCATTGATAATTAGGAGGAACGTAGTAAATGGTGTTGTATGTAACCTTTTGTCCATCTCTACTGAGCAGTCATTTATAACCAGTCTGTAAGATCTCAAATGACAAGAGGAATTTGGGCTAATTTTAAAACAAGTGAACCTGAACAAGACGCTGTGTTTCAGACTAAATCCTGGGGTCATGATGAAGGTGAAGTAAAACAATGAAACTTGTCCCCTTTTGGTCAATATGTTTCTTTTAGGAACTTCAGTGTATAGTTTACATCATACTGGTACTGTATAGAACTACTGTACTCTGATGATCTGAAATACAATGTCCTGTATATGTACTGTCACCCACAGAATTCCTCTCGTCTCTCCTGAAACATGAACCCCAAGATTCAGATCTGTGAATCCGAAGCATTTGTGGACAGAATAAAGCATCAGTGTCTGCTGCTTCGGGATCACGAGTCTGAATCTCGGGTTCGTGGGCAGCACGAGAGGCGACGGGACTTTGTGGGTGACTGTACAACACAAATTCTCACCTGCTAACAAATCTAATATATCAAAAACAATTAACTTTAGTGAGGGTTGTGCCTGACAGGTGAGGCAGTGACTCACCTGGTCCCTGAGTATTGTGAGTATATCCGCAAAAGTGGACTTGTGATTGTTCCACTTAAGTGACAGCAGCTCGTCCGTCATCGTGTTTATTCTGGAAGAAAAATGTTTCAGTCAGTTAGATATATTAATGGAAGTGGTCTATGATTTGTTTATTTTATTATTTTATTTTATTATACTGTATTTATCGTTTCACCAATTATGAGTTCACTACTCGTTCGGACAGTTGGTCTGTTCTTTGTTACGACCTTTACTGTCCAGTGTTGGTACAGGAGGAAACAGGAGTACTGTACTGTACTAGGAAAAAAAACCTGCCATGTTTGGTAGAGTCACACTGGATAACACCCTTCTCATATCTGTCCTGGGCCGGGGACTGAACCCAGGACTCGGTGATGATTTGTTTAACACTGATGTTCAACTATAAAGCACAGATTATTGATGAATTAACAGAATAATTATTGATACAGTATTACATATATAATCAATTACATTAGCACTTATTTACACCTACAGTACAGTACTTCCAAGGATCTAACATTACAGTACTGTACTTAAATGACATAATTAAGAGATGCACAAAACTAAGATCACCTGAAATTAGACACCCTAACTTATTTCATCTGAAGATTATCATTAGTAATACCTGGGTCAGTTAGATTAGGTAAAGCAATATGTAAATCAGGTTAGATTAGGAAGTGTTAGGGTAAATTAGGTTAAGTGAGATTAAGTTGGGTTAGATTAGTTTTATGGTAGATAATCTTCATATGATATAAGCTGGGGTGTCTGATCTTCAGGTAACCCCCAAAACTATTTCATTAACCATTTATCTAATATCAAAGCTGCCGTCAAGCACTGATTGGTCAAACAGAAATGAACAAAATCCTCTCTCTTCATCTTTACCTCGAAAATATAATGCAAATGATTCTTCACCTTTTAACAGTACAGACGTATATACAGATGGAGGAAATTCTAAACCCAGGAAGTAAATAACAAACCTAACACACGATTTGGCAAGGAGTCTTATAAACAACATCCAACCAACACACATCCATGAAAATAGCTGAGAGGAGACAGAGGCGAGAACAGGAAAAAGGAGCGGCTGGGAGAGGGGTAGTAGGAGAGGTCTCAAGGCTAGGAAGGAGGAGGAGAGAGAGAGAGAGAGGTGTGTGGGTCAGGATCGGTTGCAGCAGGCGGGTTAGATTAGACCTGGCCGACCTTGAGTGGAGCGACCAGCCCAGGTTTTTGTGAGGGGGCGCAACGATCTCATTCATGGTCCCTCTAGCACTCACTACCCAACCCACCCACCCACACCATCCCACTCACCCACAAACCCACCACGGTAGATAAGTGGAGCACACGGCACAGGTACCACCCACGGGAAGCTAGCCAAAAAAAAAAAAATAATCCCAACTAGGTCCTGGGGTAAGTACGTAACGTAATAACAGTTGATTGTGGTGTTCAAGCGTGTCGGGTAAATGAGGAAATACAAGTCTGGTGTAATAGTGAGGGTTCAGTATAGGATTACCACACAATATATATATATATATATATATATATATATATATATATATATATATATATATATATATATATATATATATCACTGTGGCCATACGAGTATCATTGTGGCCATACGAGTATCAGTGGCCATACGAGTAACTGTCAGTGGCCATACGAGTGCCTATCACCGTGGCCATGCAAGTATCATTGTGATCATACGAGTATCACTGTGGCCATAGGAGTAACCACCACTGGCCATAGGAGTAACCATCACTGGTCATACGAGTATTACTGTGGCCATATGACTATCACTGTGGCCATACGAGTATCACTGTGGCCATATGAGTATCTCTCACTGTGGCCATACAAGTGCCTATCATTGTGGCCATACGAGTAACTCACTGTGGCCATACGAGTGCCTATCATTGTGGCCATACGAGTAACTCACTGTGGCCATATGAGTGCCTATCACTGTGGCCATACGAGTAACTATCACTGTGGCCATATACGAGTGCCTGTCACTGTGGCCATATATACACAAGTACTTTTTATATTATTCCCCAAGTGAACATACACAATTATATACATGTTCATGGATGTATTCTGTGCATACATTCACCACAGAAATGTATTAGTCACTTAAACGAAAATATTTTTTTATCTTAACCAATAAAAAAGAACATAAAAGGTGGTTTATGTAGCTGGTAATAAACATAACTTGAGAACAAATTAACAAATAGATGATGTCATTAGCAAGAAACACAGGTAGCTTCATTATATATACAAGGTTAAATGTATACTACCAGCAAATGGCAATAAACTTGTTATATCCAGACACAATTATTCTATAAATACCAAAGGCGTCTTGTTTGTTGACTTTAGAAGCATTTTATATTTTTATTTACTAAGATTTATTAAGTTTAGTAAAAGGAGATGATATGGTAAACATACATTAAGAGTTTGTTCATGGTGAGGTGAGACCCGCCCACCCACCACCCAGGGCACAAGGTTGCTGCTAAATATAATCTAGTGACCTTGTAGGTATAGCCTCAGGTAACACACACTCTTCGTCTTCACTAAATAACTTACCGCCATCGTATTGCACCATAAACATGCCTCTCCTTCCACCTCACCTACGTGTTTTTTTTTTAAGTTTTGTTGATGAAGAAAGAAGTGAGGGAGGTGAGGGCAGTGTTATATGTGATATGCTGGGTGACGCTCCCTCCCATGTAACGGTGGCCAACACTCAGTTACTCTAACCTTTAAAATACTTTCCCAAAAATATTCCACCGTATTAATAACTGAGAATTAAGGGCCTTTCTTGGTGTATATAAATAAATACAAACATCTTAGTGAGAGGATTCAGGACAGTGTATACAACTGAGAAAGAGAGATGATGGGGTGAAAAGTGACAAAGACTGAAAATACATTACAAAGGTCTCTCCCCCCTCCCCCCCCTCCCCCTAAACAGCTGCCAGGCATCACACATGTCACCCGCGTAACGTCACGAGCCTCTGAGGGGGAGTGAGAACCAAGCTTGCCAAGAGTCGCTGGTTCTCACATGACCCAGCACTCTTACGCCTCAAAGTTCCTCCCTCACTCTGGCCTATAATTCTCCCCTCAATAACTATTACATCACCACAGTTGGCCATCTCATCACCAAAACGTCTGGTCTTCCATAACCGAGCACTAGATCACCACACACATCATCACTTAACCAGACATAAACACTCGCCCGTCTGGCATAAAATAATATGAAGCAACTCGTCACTGCGCCAGATGGTTGCCGGTGTTGGCGGGTGTACGATAACACACACAAACCAGGTGGTCACACAGCTGCGCGGCCGTCACGCACTAGAACTGTCCCAACAATACTTCCACATCACCACTACTGTAACACCCCCCCTTCTAAACGTCTCTTATAGTAGTTATGATCATTTAGAAACACTCATCGGCGGCATTAGACTCACGTACTAGTTTACGCTCAGACTGTTTAAGAACGATAGGAGTGCACGCCGCCGCAGCGCACGTACACGCACATCTGTCGCCGCTCCCCACCCGCAACGTACTGGCATCGAGCCCGCACTTCCACACTTCCACCCAACACTAATATCGGTCATGACAATCTACTCAAACCACACACACACACACACACAGACAGACAGACACACACATATATACAAGAAAATCATTCAAAGTCTCAGATAACATTACATCGTTATCGCGAAGTTTGATTCATTACGTACTGCACCAAACATGTGTAGAGAGAGAGAGAGAGAGAGAGACCTAATAACAGAAGACGGGACCAGCGGAGGAAACTGTGTGTGTGTGTGTGTGTGTGTGTGTGTAGGAAACAACAATAACAAGAACACAGGCCAGAGAAGAGTGCGCACTACTACACACACCAACAAGGGGGGGGGCATGCAGCAACAGCATCAACACACACACACACGCAGCTAGGCATCAACACACACACACACACACGTAGCTAGGCATCATCACACACACACACACGTAGCTAGTATCAACACACACACACACACGCAGCCAGGCATCAACACACACACACACACGCAGCTACACACACGCAGCCAGGCATCAACACACACACACACGTAGCTAGGCATCAACACACACACACACACGTAGCTAGGCATCAACACACACACACACACGTAGCTAGCATCACACACACACACACACACGCAGCTAGGCATAAACCTCGAAAATACAGCAGTTAATATAAGACAATATTATCAAGGTGGGAAGATTAGTACAGTAATAGTTTACGAATGGCGATTTGAACCGCCCTGACAGACGAGTAAAAATATATAATAATTACTATATATTTCATCCTGTATACAAGTAATTCGATAATAATAATAATAATAAAACGTAACAATATTTCTTAAAACAATACTGATACTTTACCGGAAATATATTGGATTATAATAACATACAATACAATTTCTTCAGACAAAACCACACACACACACACACACACACACACACACATTACCTGAGTTTTCCTAGACATTTCATAAATACTGATGCGTTCACTTGTGACTTTTGGCGGAACAAATATTTGATGTGTGTGTGTGTGTGTGTGTGTGTGTGTGTGTGTGTGTGTGTGTGTGTGTGTGTGAACCCAAAACACAATAACCCAATACAATCATTACCAATAACATAACACCATAACATATAGTGTACATTATCCCCCCACCGTAAATACCTGTACACTAATACCTACTACCGATATTATGAAGCACTATTGACAGCTCTTAGGTTAGGTCAGGTTAGGTTTGGTTAGGTTAGTGTTTTCCTCCTGTACCGTGAGATAGAGGCAGGTGTGTAAAGACGTAACACACACACACACACACAACTCTGAACCTTCGATACAGTATAACCTCTATTTAACGGACTATATAGGAGGAAAATCCGTTATATAGAGGAGTCCGTTATATAGAGGAGTCCGTTATATAGAGGAGTCCGTTATATAGAGGAGTCCGTTATACAGAGGAGTCCGTTATACAGAGGAGTCCGTTATATAGAGGAGTCCATTAAACAGAGGAGTCCGTTATACAGAGGAGTCCGTTATATAGAGGAGTCCATTATGCAGTGATAAGAGGCTGTATACGTCACTGGTGGTCTCGGGCTAGATTCATCCTCAACTCTGACCTATGGCTTCCCGACCCTCAGTTGTTTGTTTGTTTGTTTGTGTTTTTGTACCAGCGTGAAAACAAAGAGACTGTGAGAGGAAGAGGAGGTGGTGTCTTGAGTGTGTCTAGATGTGTTTGTGTGTCTGTGTACGTGTGTGTGTGTGTCTGTGTTTGAGTGTGTGTGTGTATCTGTATGTGTATGTACGTATGTGTGTTTGTGTATTGCCACCGCCTATTTCTATACACAAGACATATATTTTTTAATAAACTAATAAACTACAAAAGGTTTATTAATACTGAAGAATGTGATCACCTGAAGATTAGCTCCCCACAGTTTATTTCACCTGTTGATTAAACACCCTAATGCTACCTGGGGAGGTTAGGTTAGGTTAACATTAGATTAGGTTATCATTAGGTTAGGTTACGTTAGGTTAGGTTAACATTAGATTAGGTTATCGTTAGGTTATCATTAGGTTAGGTTAGGTTAGGTTAGGTTAGGTTAACATTAGATTAGGTTATCATTAGGTTAGGTTACGTTAGGTTAATGTGAGGTTAGGTTAGTATTAAGTTGGGGTGGGGTGGGGTTGGGTGGGTTGGGTGGGGTGGGTTTGGTGGGTTGGGTGGGGTGGGTTGGGTGGGTTGGGTGGGGTAGGGTGGGTAATGTTCAGGTGAGCACACTACAGTAGAGCCCGGGGTAAAAACAAAACACAAGAGGTACTGACCCAGCGGTGGATACAATCGGAGCACAATGACTGGTCCTGCGAATTAAAGAAACACAAACACGGATTAGATGGATAGATAGATGGATAGATAGATAGATAGATAGATAGATAGATGGTAAAATCATCATACAAGTTAACAAATTAGTTCACCATGTATATAAACAATACAGGTATACAGTGTAATTAGACTGTACAGGTATTCAATTACATCAAATTATACACAACATTGGAACAAGGTCTATATTAATAATAATTCTTATATCTGCGATACCTATAACAATTACGATACCTATAACAATTACGATACTTATAACAATTACGATACTTATAACAATTACGATACCTATAATAATTACGATACCTAAACAATTACGATACTTATAACAATTACGATACCTAAACAATTACGATACCTAAACAATTACGATACCATAACAATTACGATACCTATAACAATTACGATACTTATAACAATTACGATACTTATAACAATTACGATACCTATAATAATTACGATACCTAAACAATTACGATACTTATAACAATTACGATACCTAAACAATTACGATACCTAAACAATTACGATACTTATAACAATTACGATACCTCCTACATGGTCATCATCTGTTGGTGGTGAGGAGACGTAAAAAAGGAGGTGGAGGTATAAAAGGTGGTGGAGAGGGAGGTAGTGGTGGAGTACGACAGGTGGTACTCCAACACACACTGTGGTGGGCGGGAGTGCAGGGGGGCGGATGTGAGCCACTGACTGACGCCACTAGTAACGGTGACGCTACAATTATGGTGGTGATGGTGGCGAGTGTAGTGGTGGCGGGTGTAGTGGTGGTGACAGGTGTAGTGGTGGTGGTGACAGGTGTGGCGGTAGTGGTGGCAGTACAGGTGAAGGCAGCGGGGGCAGGGCACGGAGGTGAGGGCACAGCCAACATGATCGTGGGAGACGGTGTGTGTGTGTGTGTGTGTGTGTGTGTGTGTGTCATCCTCTCCTGCACACACACCTACAAGAGTTACCTGGGTCTTGCTACTACCTGCTGCCCCACACCTGTACCACACCTTTATTAGTTGTAATTAAATATAAAACGGATCACGTGAAGATTAGCCACCCACTAGCTAACCTAACCTAACGCTAGCCTAACCTAACCGGATCACCTGAAGAATCGTCGCCCCAGAGTCCGGCAGGGAGACAATTCTTCAGGTGGGATATCCTGGGGTGACGATTCTTCAGGTGATCCGCCCAACCTAATCTAACCCAACCTAACCTAATCTAACCCTGCCTAACCTAACCTAACCCCCCAGGCAGCGTCAGGGTGTTTAAACATGAGGTGTGTGATGGTATGACGTCAGGTGTGGAGAAGAGCAGGGAGGGTGGCAGGGAGAAGGGGAGACAGGGAGACAGTGAGGGAGGGTGGCAGGGAGAAAGGAGGGGGGCATGAGGAGACAGTGAGGGAGGGGTGGCAAGGAAGGGGAGACAGAGAGACAGTAAGGGAGGGTGGCAGGGAGAAGGGGAGACAGAGTTAGCGGAGAAGGGAGACAGTGTGGCAGGGAGAAGGGGAGACAGGAGACAGTGAGGGGGGGAGAATTGTAAGGGAAAGGGAGACAGAGACGATAGGGAGGGTGGCAGGGAGAAGGAGACAGAGAGAGACAGTAGGGAGGGTGGCAGGGAGGGGGGAGACAGGGTGTGGGGGGAGAAGGGTGGAGAGCCTGATGCTACAGGTGACCATCAGAGGTACAGGTGAGGTGCTTGTGGGCGGTGTGCCTGACCTTGGAGACGCAGCCCCCTCTGTAAGAAGAGGAGGGTAGAGGAGACAAAAGAGGAGGATAGGAAAAGAAGAAGGAGGTGGCTTACCGAGCGAGAGAGAGAGAGAGAAGGAGGGAGGGAGGAAGAGTGCTCCCAGGCCTTGTTACAACCTTCATCATAACAGGCAGAGAATCTTCGAGCCAGACACACACACACACACACACACACACACACACACACACACACACACACACACACACACACACACACACACACACACACACACACAGGTACTCATGACCCGTCGTGGTAATAACATCTCAATAGCTCACATTTCTACTTCACAAGTGAGATATACTGTCCCTCACACCTGTAATTAAGGTTCTCAGGTGACTATTGGCAGGTAAACCTTAGTATGTGTCATGCACCTGTAATCTCACCCACAGGTAACAGAACCTCGATGCTTCTTATGATAACAGGAAGATAGCGGAGGTTATTGATATAAAATGGAGTATATCCCACACCTGTTACGTCCCACACCTGTCACACCCCACACCTGTCTCATCCAGTCTCCCAGTTAAGAGAATTTACTTTACTGTGAAGGAGGAAACTGGATAATATTAATACCTCCACACACACACACACACACACACACACACACACACCTGGATATCATTAACCTCTTAAAACGGTCTTTCGGTGAGTGTATGAACGTCATGTGATTCTTCCTCCCACCACCTTTCCCTCCTTTCTTCCTTCCTCCTCCTCCTCTCCTTTCCTCCTCCTCTCCCTTCCACCTCTCCCTCCCTTCCTCCTCCTTTCCCTTCCTTCCTCCTCCTCCTCTTCCTCCTCCTCACGCCGGAAGTTAGTGGTCAACCCGCGACTCTCTCACACAACTATTTCCCCGTGAAATTCCTCCCTGAATAACTGCTGTACTGTCCGTGTGTGTGTGGGGGTGGTTAGGTTAGGTTGTGAAAGATGATCTGCAATACACCGTAGCGTCCCCCGCCCCCTGTTTGTGAGTTAAGTAGTAGTTGTAGTGGCATTAGTGAAAGTGAGGAGCCTCTACAACTACTAATGGGGGGTGTGTAGTGGGGGTAGGGTGTGGTGTATTAGTGTGTGGGGGTGTGGTGGGGTGGTGCAGTATTGGGGGGTGTAGTAGTGGGGGTGGTAGGGTGTGGTAGCAGTAGTGTGGGGGGGTGTAGTAGTGGGGTGGTAGGGTGTGTGTGTGGGGGGTGTGTGGGGTGGTAGCAGTAGTGTGGGGGGTAGTGGGGTGGTGGTGTGGTAGCAGTAGTGTGTGGGGGTAGTAGGGGTGGTGGTGGTGTAGTGTGGTGTGGTAGCAGTAGTGTGGGGGTACTTTTACCATCTACACTTCCTCAGGTCAACGACACCACTACACTCTCTCGCTCGCTCTCTCTCTCCCCGACGCTTACTGCTTTCATCTCTCTCTCTCTCTATATATATATATATATATATATATATATATATATATATATATATAATTACGATACTTCAAATATAACTTGTATTGATTACTATGTGTGTGTGTGTGTGTGTGTGTGTGTGTGTGTGTGTGTGTGTGTGAACGTTCTCTCTCATAACTGACTGACAAGATCCACAAAAACACTAAGATTGACACCAGGTGGTGGGCGGCAAGAGCAGGTGGTGGGTGGTAAGAGAGGTGTGGTGGGCGGCAAGAGCAGGTGGTGGGTGGTAAGAGAGGGTGTGATGGGCGGCAAGAGCAGGTTGTGGGTGGTAGAGAGGTGTGGTGGGCAGCAAAGCGGGTTGTGGGTGGTAGAGAGGTGTGATGGCGGCAAGAGCAGGTTGTGGGTAAGAGGTGTGGTGGGCGTCAGAGGCAGGTGGCTGGTATGAAGAGCGAGTGGCAGGTGGAACGGGCGGTGGGTGGCAGATGCGGATGATGGGCGGCAGGGTGTGGATGATGCAAATGGTGGGTGGGTGGGTGGCAATAGCGGGCGGGTGAGACAGGGAGTTCTTCCACCACCACACACACACACCTCACTCGCGTGTTTGCGTTACGGTCGCTTTACATCAACGTTCTTCACGAGCTGTTGACTGGCTGGCTAACTGACTGGCTGGCTAACTGACTGGCTGGCGTCTGACTGGCTAACTGACTGGTTGACGGGTCGCTGGCTGGCTAACTGACTGGCTAACTGACTGGCTGGCTAACTGACTGGCTGGCTAACTGACTAACTGGTTAACTGACTGACTGGTTATCTGACTGGGCACCTGACTAACTAGACATTAACCACGACTAAACAACCACACATTCGGTCAACACACAGTAATTAATAACACAGGTATGTCTTAACCTTTGACCCCGTGACCTTGAGAGAGAGATGGCCTTAATGTTGAATAAACACCCTCCTCCTCCCCCCTCCACATCACCACCACCACCACTATCACACCACCACCACCTATCACCACCACCACTATCACCAACCACTGAGATTATTTACGTATTAAATTAGACTTTTTCCTAAAATTTCCCGACAAGTTGAACAGTATACGACTCTTAAGTGGACCGGTATAGGTGATGGTGGACCGGTACAGGTGGGTGATGGTGGACCAGTACAGGTGGGTGATGGTGGACCAGTACAGGTGGGTGACGGTGGACCGGTACAGGTGGGTGATGGTGGACCGGACCAGAGTGGGTGACGGTGGACCGGTACAGGTGGTTGATGACGGATGAGGCAGTTGGTTACCAGAGCGTGTAAAAAATCATGAGGTTGAGCCGTGGCATAACTTGCATCAAACTACTTGTGTTGTCCTTGGCGGGTGTAAGTGGGAGGGGGTGCTGGAAAAGGGAATGGAGAGGGGGAGGGAGGGAGGGTGCTGGAAGGGAAGGGAATGGAAAGGAGAGAGGGAGGAGGGAGGGAGAAGATGAGGGGTGCTGGAAGGAAGGGGAATGGAGGGGGGAGAGGGAGGAGGAAGACAGGCAAGCAGGAGAGGTAATGAGTGTACACCAACACCAGCTGTGGGGCCGCTTAGGAGTCACACACACACACACACACACACACACACACACACACACACACACACACACACACACACACACACACACACAAAACACACTCCAAAGTCAACATGAAAAAACACAAGCGACCCTCTCCTTCCCTCTCTTCCTTCCTTCCTCCTTCCTTCTCTCTCCTCCCTCTCCCTCACCTGCCATGTTGTCGTTGAGGCTAGTTAAGTGAGTGAGTGTGTGTGTGTGTGTGTGTGTGTGTGTGTGTGTGTGTGTGTGTATGTGTGTGTGTGTGTGTGT